TTCCTCCCCAAGGTGTGAGTATCATTTTGATGCTAAGAAGCTTTCCATAAGGTGACTACCTTTTTGTTCGAAGAATTTTATGAAGATTTTGCTTTGTAAAGGTATTTGGGTATTAATTATAATTTTAGTTTTTTTAATCTCTGATGTAAGCTTGTTATGAAAATAAACGTTAGATTATATATATATATTGTTGAAATTATAATTTCAAGTATATATTAAATGTTATTTCTTCTTTTTTCTTATGAGAAGCAATGTGCATATTGACTTCTGCTGTATTAAGATCTAATGTATTAATTATCATGAATTAATTTCCGTTTTAGTTTTCTCAACTTCAAATGGATTTGGTGTTGGAGTTTATGTTTGATTTTGAGGACTAGCTGCTAGGGTTCAACTATGTTTCCTTCTTTTTTAGTTTTTATTTTTGGTTTGAGGACTAGCTGCTAGGGTTCAACTATGTTTCCTTCTTTTTTAGTTTTTATTTTTGGTTTGCACTTTCCCATTTTGTAATAAGAAATGCATTTCTTTTCCATTTTTATTTTTTATTTTTGGTTTGCACTTTCCCATTCTGTAACAAGAAATGCATTTCTTTTCTACATCTCATAGATCATTTTATAATCCTGCACTTTGAGCCAGTCATTGGCTGCATCTATCACTCTTATCATAATTTATTGCTTCTTCCTTTCTGCTTTTGTATTGACCTGTAGTCTTCGCCCCTCAAAATGGTGTTTGTCATCTTTTGCTCTTTTGCACTTACTATTTCTTGACTTTTTTATCCTTTTCTTTTTATTTGCTATCTTACCATAAACAAGGATTGAAGAACATAACTGACCTGAAACTAAAATGTCTGAGAATTTTAGGTTCCTTTAGTTTAGTTCACATGTCTGAACTTGAGCTGCATTCCATAATGGAATTTTATTAGGTCATATCATCCATTATTTCCCAAAATTTTACTCTCTAATGCCATTCACATTTTTGTTCTTAGCTAAATTTGATTGGAGTATGGATAGACCTAGTATGTTTGCTGCCTTTCACAGCCATCTGCAGATTTTAATTATTTATTTAGATAAAAAAGAAAAGAAAAGATAATAAAAACATATAATTTTCCTTCACTTCCTTTCTCTTTATTTCTCAACTAAATATAAATAAATTTGAGCTCATTTTAATAATTCATAAAAACAATCAAATTTGAAGAGTTTTAAAATGCACTCAAACACTTTAATTTGCTTATATGTCAGCTAAATTTGAAGAGTTTTCCCTTAAGTACTCCATGCATAGCTTAATAAAGAGAAAGAGGAAATTGAGAAAGTGATTAAAACAAACCATAGATGCTTTATTGTACGTAAGTTGAAGCATATGACTTTGTCCAATTTTTTTTTTACTTTTTTCTCTTTGGTCACAATTGAAATTGATTTAAAGATTACATTTAGATTTTTTGATTTGATGATTATATTTTTCATCATAAAGTATACTCCTAAACTTAAATCTAACGTTCAAATCTTCATTCTCTTTAA